TTTATTTATATACAGTTGAAAGCAGAAGTTCACATACACTAAAAAAAGGAACATAACTATTTTTTATAAAATGTCTGATAGTAAATGATCCTAAACATTTACTATTTTAGGTCCATCAGGATTACCTAAATCATTTACATTTGCTGAATGCCAGAATGAGAGCATTTTTTTTTTAGATTTTTTTATTAATTTCTAGACAGTCAGAAGTTTACACACATTTCCTTGGTATTTTTTTAAGCTTTGCTTTTAAACTGTATAACTTTGGTCAAATGTTTTGGGTCTCCTTGCACAAGCTTCTTACAGTAGTTTAATGCAATATTGGCCCATTGCTCCTGACAGAACTGCTGTAACTGAGTCAGATTTGTTGGCTGTCTTGCTCACACAAGCTTTTTCAACTCTGCCCACACATTCTCTACAGGATTGAGATCTGGGCTTTGTGATGGCCACTCCAAACCATTCACTCTGCTGTCCTTAAAGCACATTTGACTAATTTGGCAGTGTGCTTAGGGTCATGGTCTGTCTGGAAGAGCCATTTGTGGCCATGTTGTAATGTCCTGGCTGATGTGTTGAGATGTTGCTTCAGTATTTCTCCATGATGTTCTGTCTTCATGATGCCATCTATGCTGTGAAGTGGACCAGTCCCTCCTGCAGCAAAACAGCCCCACAACATGATGCTGCCGCCCCCATACTGCACAGTTGGGATGGTGTTTCTAGGCTTGTTCCCCTCTGTCCTCCAAATGTAACACTGCTCATTATGGCCAAACAGTTCAATCTCAGCTCCATCAGAGCACAGGACATGTCTCCACACATCAGTCTATTCCCAGTGTCATTCAGCTAACTGTAATCTGGCTGCTTTGTTGTTGATTTTCCCATGTTGTCACAGAAGGAAGCAGTGTGTTTGAGCTTTTCCTTCAATACTATTCTACAGTTGTGCCTCACATTAACTCAAATGTTGTCAATCAGCCAATCAGAAACTTCCAAAACCCTGACATCATCATCTGA